GTGAAAGCTACAAGACTCTCGGAGGCAGGAGGAGGTGGTGGAGGCAGGACACTTGATTTCTTTTTAAGTAATTATCCAGAACAAAGATATACCTGATTTTTATTTGTTAAAGGATGTGATCACTTTTTAAAATATTTTATTTATTTATTTATTTATTTATTTGAGAGAGAGAGAGAGAGAGGGTGAGCACGAGTGTGGGGTAAAGGGCAGAGGGAGAGGCAGAGTCCCTGCTGAGCAGGGAGCCCGATACGGGGCTTGATCCAGGAACTCCAGGATCCTGACCTAAGCTGAAGGCAGAAGTTTAACTGGATGAGCTACCCAGATGACCCTATAATGTCTAGTTTTTAAAAAGAACTCTAGGAGATTTCACACCTAGCACTTAACTTCTCTTAGTGATGAAACCTTTAGACCAGAAGCCAGAAGAGTGTTTCTATTTCCAATGCTGTTAGCAGTTGTATTCAAAGACAGGCTCTAAACCTCCTAAATTTATCTGTACCTCTGGAAAATTGTGAGTATGAAGTTTTCTTTTCTATAATATTAAAGAATTGTACATAAATTCTAAAATAAATGCACAGACTATTACCTCACTTTTCTGGAGGAAAAACTTTCAGTATCTTCAGCTCTTTGGCACATGGCCATGACCCTAAGCTAACAAATAGGAAGAACAATTAATCAACTATAAGCAGCAAAAAAAAAAAAAAGTTCCTGAACAGCTGAGCAGCCACCAGCTCCACGCACTCCTTATGCTCCTCCCTGAGTCACACAGCAGAATGATTAAAAATATTTGTGACACAAAGACAGCCCTCACACGCAAATGCTGCTGCCCGGCAGAAACACAGGAAGGTGTCCCAGGTCAGTCAGCAAGAACTCGTGTCTGCGGCAGAGAGAGGATATTGAAAATAAGCGTGAGACTCCGTCTTTGCCCTCAAGCAGTTTACATTCTTAGACGGCTCCATATAAAATCACCATTTTATAGGTCGTATTTTTTTTTATGTTCAGTCTAGTTGGATAAGCAAAACAATCACATGTTAAACAATACTAAAGAGTACAAAACAGCATCAAGTTCTGTGTTAAATTATATGATATAAAAGTAAATCATACGAAGCACAAGAGATCTGTAACAGCTGAAGTAGCCAACGATGGCTTTCCAGATCAAGCTGACTAGATCTGAGCCATGAAGGCTTGGTGAAATTTAAATAAGTCTTAAGTGAAACCTGAGATAGAGGAAATGACATGACTGGAGGCACAGGAGAAAGAGGAAGCATATTCTATACAGGGAAAAATTTTCTCGCAATGGAAGATACATAGTAAGAAATGGAAAATAAGCTTGGATAAGTGGTGTAGAATCAGCTTATGGAGACACTTGCACACCAAGCAAAAATGGAAGCCCAGGTCTTGTCCAGTCCCCTCGTACACTGAGTACCTAGGACATAGTCACTCAATAGCATTTTATGAAATGAATGAGTGAAGCGTTCTTACTAATAACAAAATAAGAATTCACCAAGATTCGAAAGAAGAGATGATACTTGATAAAAATGATATCCAAAACTGATTAGTGTATATGCTGGATGGGCCAAAGGGAAAAGACTGGCATCCAAAAATAAAACTAGAAGATGATTTCATTAATCTAGAGAGGAGTGATAATAGCTGGGGCAAGATAGGAAGAAAAGACTTGCACCAGAGATATTCAAAAGAGAACCAGCGTGAACCTTGGAAACATTATGCTGAGTGAAAGAAGCCAGTCACAAAAAAACCATATATTGTATGAGTCTATTTATATAAAATATCCAGAAGAGGTAAATCTATAGAGACAAAAAAAAAAAAAAAAAAAGAGATTACTGGTTCCCTAGGGCTTGGGGGAAGGGTACAGGTTACAGGGGAAGAGGGAGTAACTGCTAATAGGTACAGGGCTTTTTGCAAGTGTTGATGAAATGTTCTAAAATTGACCGTGATGATGGTACACAATTCTGTGAGTAAACTAAAAGCCATTTAATTGTAGACTTTACATAGGTGAATTACATGGCACATGAATTATATCTCAAAGATGTTATTAAAAAGGAGAGGGAATTAATAAATATGGTGAATGACAATATATATGTGTTTGATGGAGAAAAATGAACCATTCACTGTAGACTACGTAATTTCCAGTTTGAGTCTCATGGAAATAGTAAGAATATCCGCTAACACTATTATTACGTAAAATTATTTTAGGATCACTGGATGATGAAATAAGCCATGGAAAATAAGTAAGAGATATAATATTAGAAAAGAAGGGACCAAGTTATTACATTCAGAAAACCTGAAAGATTCACCTAAAAATTATTTGCATTCATGAAAATTCAGTAATATATATAAGATATACACAAATGTCAATATATTATAAATATCAACAACAGCTAATAAGAAAAATATTAGATAAAAGTTTAACCTTGAAATAACCTAAATAATAGTGTGAGTGGCTTATATAAGGGAAAAAAACAAAATTTTATTAAGCAATAACAAATGAAGATTTAATAAAATGGAGATATAGGTGAGGTTCTTTGATAGGGAGAATAAATATTATAAAGATACCAGTCCCCAAATTAAATTTTTTAAAGATTTTTTCTATTTATTTGAGAGAGACCAGAGCTTGATCCCAGAACCCCAGGCAGATGCTTAAGCAACTGAGCTACCCAGATTAATTTTTTAAAGCTTATCAAAGTCTCCAGGTAGGAATAAATTTACATTTCTGTCAGTATAAATTTGGTGAAATATTTCAAAAGCCTTCAAATTGTTCATGGCCTTTATCTCAAAGAAGTTCTCTAATAGAGAAAAAAAAAAAAATTATGGGATGCCCGGGTGGCTCAATCGGTTAAGCATCTGACTTCAGCTCAGGTCATGATCTCAGGGTCCTGGGATCGAGTCCCACATTGGGTTTCACACTCAGTGGGGAGTCTGTTTCTCCCTCTCACTCAACCCTCCTCTCTCTCTGTCTCTCTCTCAAATAAATAAAATCTTTCAAGAAGAAAAAACCTTTGTGCATAAGATGACCAGTCTTCTCCTTTAGATCCTAGATGATAACTTTCATGTCTTCCTCCACGTCTTCCCTTTACACCCTCAGTTCCTCCAAACAACTGTTACTCACCTGGTTTCCGGACTGTTCTATATCCTGATGTTTTCCTCTAAATGGACTGTATTTTGTTAGTGTATCTCAACATGTGTCATTAACATTGGTTGTTTAGGAAAGAGTAACATAAGTAAAACCAAACCCAGCTGCACTATTGTTACCGCAATTTAGAAATAACCCTATGACACATTGGAAAGTGTTTACCGGTGGTTGGTATAAGATTTGGTAGTGGTTATTTCTTAGAAAGTGTGTATCATGTGGTGGTATTAGGAGTCCATGTTACTGGGATTTATTGAAGTTAATTGTTCTTAAGAAAAGATAAATAAAAGCAGGTCAACCTATGGCTTCCTAAAGGAAGTGCAGAGGAGATTAAGTGAAAGAATGGTGGAAAATGCACTTGCTTGACTCAAAAAACAGCCAGCATATTTTCCACCCCCTTTATTAAGAAAAAAAAAAAAAAATCCAATCTTATAAAGCAGTGAACCTTATTTTTCTGCATCTTAATACAAAAATGTTTGAAAAAAACCAACTTTTAAAATGCAAAAAAGCTATATATATACACATACATACAGAGTGAAAGACTTGGTTTTCCAACTGTTCCCTTCCTTAGAGTTAACTGCTGTTACATTCATTTTTAAAACATTGTAAGATTATTCCATGATGTTTAAAAACCACTTTGAGTTTTTTGTCTCCAGTATTATGTATAGCTTCATTTTTTGCAAAATACATTATTACATTCCTTATAGTCTTTTTATCTGCTACTGCTAGTTATTCACCTTGACATCATAATTTCTCTTTAAGTGTGATTTACTACATTTCTCTCAGATGTCATTTTTATGTAAAATTGTCATTTTAATTCTGTATTTATTTGAAAGTATCCAGCTATGTTACCAGTTATGTCCAGCTATTTCCAAATTAATCTTCATTGTTTTATACCAAAATCAGCATGTATACGTGTATGCATGAGAGAGAAGGCAGATTTTTTTTCTTGTTAGTATTGAACTGCTGAAGACTTGGAGGCCTACTCAGTATTAGTTAAGTGAGGAGGGATCTGACTAGACATTGGTTCCATCATGGTAATGGTGGGAGGCAGGCAGATGCCAAACAGCAGGACCTAGAAGCGACAACGGCGGACTTTAGAGCCTGTGCCTTAGTAGGAGCAAGCAGCCCCTAGTCACAGCCAGGATCCTCAGCATATAGGAATTCAGGCCTACTTTCGTCAAATCTGATGATTTTTCAGAAGAAGCCAAAATTCTGAATTTTTCTGTAAAATCTCCCAATTATCAAATTGGCTCATTTTCTAAAACACTGAGAGATTTAAAACAAACAGACAAACAAACAAAAAACCTTAGGCTCAATGTGGCTCTCAGACTGTCAGATCGCAGCCTCTTTATATTCACATACTTAGCAGCAAAGGAAACCTATTTTTCCACATTTGTTACATGTTTTAGGGGAGATGGTAAAAAAGCTGCACTGTTAACTCATCAGAAGATAGATATTATTGAAATTACAACATAAAATTCTACATTAATATTTACCTTGTCTGTTTTCTATTTGGGGAAATCCACCACATCCCACTTATACCTCACCATAACGGTAAGTTGGGTTATAAAGTAGCGTTCCCCATTTGTCTGTCCTCAATTCCCTGTATCACACTATAGAGAAAGAGGAATACAGAAGAAGTTTCAACATCTTCATGTTCCAACCTCCAGTGGTTTAAACCAGACAGTTCTTTTGGAGTGAAAGTACTATGTCTTTTCTTTCTCACAGTTGCTGAGAAATTATAATTAGAGGTTTTCCTGTTGTGTGAAGGGAAGGAATTCCAGTCCTCCTGTGTCTACAAGACTTTGGTTCTCAATGGATTTGCTTCCCTGTCCCATTTCTCTTTCTGCAGGTGATAGAGGGGAAGCTGGCTCCATTCTTGGGCAAGGTCATTAAATTTGCCACCTCACACGTGTACAGCTGCAGTCTTTGTAGCCAGAAGGGGTTCATCTGTGAAATCTGTAACAATGGAGAGATCCTCTACCCTTTTGAAGATATTTCAACAAGCAGGTACAGAATCTCTTGTCTTACAAAAGTACACCTGAATGTGTCACATGCTGTTTTACTTGGTCAGATCAGAACAACTTTCAGTCAAGTACTGTATCTCTCTCTCTTACCTTGTAGCCGATTTCCCTTATTCTTGGAGAACATTTTTTACCCTTTGGTTTCTTATGTTTATTCCCTGCTCACCTCACTATCTTTATCCAGAATGAGATGAGAGTTACAAAGAAACGTCACCTATCTCTGCCTTCTTAGGTAATGAAGCGTGTTCAGATTCATTTTTAGAATGAAGATCAGGGAGGAAGAATCCTCACAACACTTCAGGGCTAAGTGATAGGCCATGGGAATTCACAGTCTTAGAGTAAGGCTAAAACTGGACCGACCGCCAGGAATAAAACTACAAGACACTGGGGAACAGCTGTCTGGCTCACCACATGCTTTTCTCCACAGATGCGCTGCAGTGTGGTGATGAAAGTTTTAGGATCCAAAGGAGAGAAAAGTGGGAGTTTGTGTGGGATTATTTTTCTAACCAAAGTAATATTTGGGCATCATCACATTCATTGATTGATGGATGATTTTCTTCCCCCACTAACTTTAGAGTGGGGTTTTTTACTATTGCTTTTCTTGAATCACAAAATGATACATATCATTTTTCCCTTCATTCCAAAAGCATCATAGAAATACATACTGTTTATGTGTCTGTGCACTGGCTTCTTTGGCCATGAAATCATGCCTCATTTCCCACCCAGCAGGGCTCACTTACACTGTGGTTCAGAACAGAAGGGAAGGCACATAGCCAGGGCGGGCTGAAGCATGTAGGGTGAAGAGAAGATATTAAGAGTTGACTCAGCCCTTCTGGCCTCTTCTTAAACCCAAAGACTCTTTGTAAACATACAGGAACTTGGGCTGGCCGCACACACAGAAAGACACACACACACACTCCAACCTCATTTCCTGAATACAGGTCCCCAACTCATAGCCTAGAGATTATAGACTTCTTTAAAATGTACACCACACAAAAACTTATACACAGATGTTCATAGCAGTATTCATAATAGCCAAAAAGTGGAAACCGCATAAATGTCCATTAACTGATGAATGGATAAACAAGTTGTGGTATATCCATACAACAGAATACAATTCAGCCTGAAAAGGAACCTGACTGACACATGCCGCCAGTGTAGGTGAACCTCAAAACCATTACGCCAGGTGAAAGAAGCTAGACACAAAGGGCCACATATTTTATATTCTGTGTATATGAAATGTCCCAAATAGCCAAATCCATAGAGACAGAAAGTAGATTAGTAGTTGCCAGGGACATCAGGGAAAGGAAGGAGAGTAACTCCTAATGGGTACAGATTTGTTTTAGGAGGGACAAAAATGTTCTGGAATTACTGTGGTGATGGTTACAAGGTCTTTTGAATATGTTAAAAATCAGTGAATTGTATACTTTAAAAGAATGAATTTTATGGTGTATATATATGGTATATATATATATATTGCAATCAGTGTTTAATTAAAAAAAATTAAATTAAAAAATGCTTCCAACTGGGGCGCCTGGGTGGCTCAGTGGGTTAAGGCCTCTGCCTTCGGCTCAGGTCATGATCCCAGGGTACTGGGATCGAGCCCCACGTCGGGCTCTCTGCTCGGTGGGGAGCCTGCTTCCTCCTTTCTGTCTCTGACTGCCTCTCTGCCTGCTGGTGATCTCTGCCTGTCAGATAAATAAATAAAAATCTTAAAAAAAAAAAATGCTTCCAACTGTATAAACCATATGCTAGGTCACAAAACAAGTTTCAAATTTTTTTTGAAGATTTTATTTATTTATTTGAGAGCAAGAGAGAGAGCAAGCAAGCACAAGCATGGGGGAGGGGCAGAGGGAGACACAAACTTCCCACTAAGCAAGGAACCCAATTTGGGACCTGATCCCAGGACCCTGCGATCATGACCTGAGCCGAAGGCAGACACAACCAACTGAGCCACCCAGGTGCCCCACAACTTTCAATAAATTTTTTAAAAATTGAAACCATACCAAGTATATTCTCTGATACATCGAATTAAGATCTTCAATAGAAAAAAGTCTGAGAAACCCTGAGAAATATTTGGAAATTAAACAATACACCCTAAAAACTTATATGTCAGAGAAAAAATAAATTAGAGAAATATGAAATATTTTAAAATGAATGAAAATGAAATATAAAATGTCAAAATGAATGGAATGTAGCTAACATAGTACTTAGAGTGAAACCTATAGCTATAAACGTATCATGAAAAACATGTCAGGAAAAAAAAGAAAAAAGGTCTCAAATCCATTACCAAAAAAATCCACTTTAAGAGTCTAGATAACAAAGCGCAAACTAAATCCAAAGCAAGCAGAGGAAAGGAAAGACTAAAGATTAGAGCAGATATCAATGAGATGAAAGATAGAAAAAGAGTACATCAATGAAACCATAAGTTGGTCTTTGAAAGAATCAACAAAATTGATGGCTCTTTTGCTAGGACCAAGAAATTAAGAGAAAAGACACAACTACTCAAAATCAGGAAGGAAAATTATATAATTATAATTATATAAGATTATAATTATATTATATAAGATTATATATTATATACATTATATGAGATTATAAAGAGATAGCATAAATGACTTTATTCCAACAAATTAGACAACTTAGATGAAATGGGTAAATTTCTAGAAAGACAAATTACCAAAATAGACTCAGAAGAAATAGAAATATGAATAGCCCTATAACAAGTAAAAAAACTGAATTAGTCATTTTTAAATCTTCCCATAAAGAAACAAGATGGCCTCATGGATTAATTTTGTTGAATATTTAAAGAAATAATACCAATCCTTCACAAAGGGATAAAGAGAGGCATTACCTAATGATAACGGGGTCAGTTTTCCAAGAAGACACAATAGTCAACGTGCACGAGCAGAGTCAAGATACATGCGGCAAAAGAATCAAAAGAACTACGAGGAGAAACAGACAAACCCACAACTATACATACATCTCCACTCTTAGTGAGACTTCAACACCCGTCTGTCAGTAACTGACAGATCCAGCAGCAGAAAATCGGTTTAAGCTTATCATTAAACTGAAAGGCACTGTCAGTCAACTGGGTCTAATTGACTTTTTTGCCAATTCATGTTGTTCATCCAACAACAACAGAATATGCATTCTTCTCGAGCTCACACGAACATTTAACAAGAGAGACCATATTCTGGGCCATAAAATACATCTGAACAAATTTACAAAAATAGATATCATGCAAAGTATGCTCTCAGACCATAATGTAATTAAACTAGGAATCAGTAACAGAACAATACCTACAAAATTCCAGCGTATTTGGGGGTTAACAGTATATCTCTAAATAACACATGAATTGATCATTTATGTCCACACAAAACCCTGCACACAGATGTCTATAGTGGGTCTACTCATAATCGCCAAAAACTGGGAACAACCAAAATGTCTTTCATGTGTGGATGGATAAATAAACTGTGGTATATCCATGCAATGGAATATTATCCAGCGATTAAAGAAATGAACTGTCAAGCCACAAAAGGACACAGAGGAAACTGAAATGCATATTACAGAGTGAAAGCCAGTCTGAAAAGGCTACCTACTGTATGAGTCCAACCATATGACATTCTGAAAGGGGCAAAACCGTAGACAGTAAAAAATAAAATAAAATCAGTGATTACCAGGGGCTCCAGAGTACATAAGGAAAGATGAATAGGTAAAGCACAGGAATATTTTAGGGCAGTAAAGTTATTCTTCCCATTACACATTTGTCAAAACCCATAGAACTGTACAACACAGAGTGAACCTTAGATTGTGGACTTCAGTTGATAATAATGTATCAGTATTAGTTCATTAATCATAACCAATTTACCACACTAATGCAAGTTTTTGAGAGTAGAGAAAACTAGGGGTGAGGGTAGTAATATGGAGACTCCGTACTATTCTACTCATTTTTGTCAATCTAAAACTGTGCTAAAAAATAAAGTCTATTTAAAAAAAAAACCCACAATGCATTCAACTGAACAGTTGACTCAAATACCAAAGCTGATCAATGTTAATAAACTTTATTAGAACAATTTTAGACTTACAGAAAAATCATAAAGATGGTAAAGAGAATTTCCATATACCCCACACCCAGTTTCCCCATTTACATCTTACATTAACATGGTATATTTGTTATAATTCATGAATCAATATTGATACATTATTATTAGCTGAAGTCCATAGCTTTTTGAGATTTCCTTAGTTTTTAACTAATTGTTTTTTTTCTGTTCCAGAATACCACATTATATGTAATTGTGACATCTCCCTAGGTTCCTCTTGACTGTGACAATTTCTCACACTTTATTGTTAGGACATTGACAGTTTTGAGGAGGACCAGTCAAGCATTTTGTGGAATCCCTCTGTGGGGATGGACTTAATGTTTTTCTTATGAACAGACTGGGTTTTATGGGCTTGGGGAGGAAGACCACAGACACAGAGTGCCATTCTCATCATATCAGACCACGGGCACATACTGTCAGCGTGACTTACCACTGCAGTGTTTGTGTCCAGTGTCTCCACGGTAGGAACTCTTCCCCCCAACCTTTTCCATATTATCCAACACTTAAAGAGTGAAGGTTATGCTCCAGTTCCCTCAGGAGTGGAGTTTATACAAAGTTATTTGGAATTCTGCCTGTGTGATTTGTCTCTTCTTCCCATTTATTTTTTCGAAGTATTTATTTGTACCAGCATGGACACATGCATATTTATTTTCCATTTTGGGTTATAATCCAAGGTTACTTAATTTTTTTCTCAGACTATTCCAGCTTTGGCCATCCAGCTCTTGTAGCTGGCTCCTGCATCACTTTGATATACTCAAATCATTGTGGGGTTTTTTATTTTGATCATTTCTGTACTTCTCGTGCTACCAGATGGCCCAGCCTCGTCATATATATTTCTTGCCCTAATCCTAGAAGTAGCCATTTCACCAAGGAGCCCAGGTTC